ATATATTTGAATCTGGCTTTGTCTGGTTTTTTTTTTTTATCGTTTTGTGCACAACGTTTTTTTTACTTTGTCAAAACAATCTTCGTGCAGTGTCTTGACTCAGCGCCACAGCTGATGTGAAGCGCAGCGTAAAGGACAACAAACACAAACAGATCTAATTGACTGTGAAAGTTGTCTTCAGAAGTTTACTGCCACAGCGCATCCAGCAATGACTGAGCTGATTTAAGTCGCTGTTTTTCAAAAGCATCTTCCAGATTTTCACATTCTGCTCCTTAGGTGACTGTCAAAAAGCCTGATTTTGAAGTTTTGAAACCAGTTTGGCCAGTGCGCACAGAGGTAATCGGAAAAAGTTGAATTTATCAGTCTCCATTTGTCTCACCGTGTGCCCTTGCTTGGCCTCGCTGTGCGCTCTGGCAAGTCTGTCACTCTCCTGCGGTGCCTTCCTGCAGCGCTTTCCAGCTGTGCTAACGCTGGCTTGCCTTCATTTCACACAGCACAGACCTTCTGATTCAGACACCTGCTGAGACGCAGCACACTTTGGCAGCAGGTAAACCTTTTCATGCCGTGTCAGGTTTAAGGGTGTTTAAATATTGTTTTCCCAGTCAGCCCGACCACCTCACAGAACGCTTGAGGGAATCTTTTCATAGTTTTTTTTAGACACCATCAGGACGTGAGGACCTTGATGTAACTTCCGTTTCTGAATGACAAATTTAAGTAAATTTTCTTAATGCCTTAAGTTTCAAAGTTAGGTAATTAAATCCACGACAGCAGCAGCACCATTACCCTAAATGATTTTAGCATGCTTGGAATGTGTAGATTTTGTTGATATCATTAGAAACTCCTGATTTCTAAAGGCTGGGCATTGGTATTATATTGGACTACAATATATATTATAGCTTTTATGACGCTTTTCTGACCCACTACTTTGCTTATAAACCTAGAATAACATATATATTATATTAATTCTACACCAAGTCAGCCACAATATTAAAACCACTGACATGTAAAACTCTGATCATCTCGTTACAACACAATATTGTTTTAGGAAACCTTAACTGCTGGCATTCATGTGGAAGCTACTTTGAAAATCTAAGCACAATCTGCCTAAAGACTGTTGGAGATGAAGCATTTGCCCTTATTTGATGAGGCTCTCCCCAACGTCAGTGGACCTCCTCAGCCCAGCAGGACAGTGCACTGGACATTTCCCAGGAACAGCTCGACAAAAGATCTAACGCACTGACCTGGCTTCCAGACTTCCCCAATTACAATCCAATCGAGCATTTGTAGGATCTACTGGAACAAGCACAATCTAAGGAAGGCTCCATCCAGCAAACCACGGGACCCAAAGGATCTGGTGCCAACGTCCCGGTGCCAGATACAGACCGCGCCCTAGTGAATGCCCCGATGGGTCAGTGCTGTTTTAGTGTCACATGAGGGACCTACAGTGCTCTAGTGTTTTTGCCTATTGGTGTGGAACATAGCAAAGGCACAAAGAGTAAAAAAGGGAGCTGCCAGACTCCCCAAAATGTCAAATCTGTAGCTGCCTGATTTTTGATGGCAGAATTTCTTGCATCTTGTGGATAAGGTTTGCAAGAATGAAAAGCTAATTATGCTGGAGTCTGAGCTATCGCCCTACTAGCAGTACAGGTCTGTAAGCAAAGAGTTTTTAGGACGCCTGCTGCAGTGTATTATATTTAAACCCTGAAAAATCTAGTCACAGATTCAGTGCTAACTGCTTATTATTCTAATTCAGTCAAAATGAGGCCTTAATTACTGACAGGAAGTGTTTTATTGTGTTATGATGCATTAGAGGCACATGTGACAAAATCATTGTAGATTTTAAACCAGTTTTGTTAGCTACATTTAGCTACATCTTTAATGTTTTTTAAAAACCATTGGCAAATTACTGGAATACACCGGGCAGGGTTGTGTTTAGTTCGGGCTTCAATGTGGTCACTGGAGACCAATCACATCTGCTTAGGACAATGCTTGGAATCCCACCAAATGTGGCACCCTGCTCTGGGTGGTATAAATTATATGACTAACAATGTAACTCAAATTTTTGGCAGAAGTTGCATTAGATTGTACAGAGCAGATGAGGAGGGCACGGAATAAGATAAGAAACTGCACAGTGAATACAGCCAGTTTTCAAAATAAAAGACTCAGGTGCAGACTGTGTGCTTTGCCTCTGCAATGCTCCTGTGGTGCTTTAAGCTAATATTTGTGTTGTCTTGTGCTGGATAAACTTTTATTGTTGTGTTTTTTAAAATAGATCACTCTTGTCAGCAGCAGGGATCCTGTTTTCCCTTTTTTTGAATCAAGATGGTTCTGATTCCTGAAAACATGACAGCAACCAGAATATGTTTACATCCTTTAATGTATCTGTTTTGTGATGAACTCATGGCATTTTCAGGAAATGTGAGCACTGAGGTGTGTGAATTAGTGTCAAGCTGAGAGGTTGCCAGACAGGCACACACATATATAAATAAACACACAAAGATGGACACACACACATAAATACACACCTGCACACAGATCTGGATGAGATAGACAGGCACAGTCTGCATGTTTGTAGGGAACACTAGGAGGTGTCAAAAACCACGAGCACATTATTATCACCTCTTCTACTACCGCACAGGATCTGAAAGACATCCAGCCTTCATCATTCAGACACATACGCACACACACACACAAAGAAAGAGAGATGAGTAATAAGACAGCCTACTCTGTCTGCTCAGAAACACTTCTGCATAGTTTAGGAGGTTCAGAAGCACCCATGAGGAGAGGATGAATGAAACGGGCTGGAACAGCAGGGAATTGGCTCAGTGATTTAAATGCTCGCTGGATAAAGACAGAAAAAAGAAATAAATAAATGGGTCACTTCAGTCAGTGGCGATAACCAATTTCTCATTCCCTTTCTGTAAAGCCTATCGGTTTCAGTGGGATTGTCAGAGCAGGGTTATTCCATGAGCAAAAAGGCAACGAGAGAGGGAGTATGTGTCACCCACTGTTTCGCAGTACTGAGCTTAATTCTAAGCATTCAAATCTGTTTGAAATCTCCACATCTGGGGACAAACAAAATGTGAATGAAAAAGCTGCATCATATTTGCCGGGAGGATCAGGAGCCTGTGTAGAGGGGGAGTGGGAGAAAAAAGGAAAAAAGGGCGGATCTACCCAAGTCCCTGCCAATCATCCAGCACTCCTGGGATGGAGGAGGGGAAGTGTGGGGTGGGGTTCATTTCTAAATGACAGCCACTTGTCACAGCTTTGGAGCCAAAGCACTCTTCACTTCCCCGCATCCTGCAAGGGGCAAGGGGGGGAAAGGAGACTGGGTGGGTGCTAACGTCAGAAATCATGTGACCTGAGCTTTGCATGAGTCTCTGGTAGATTTTCTCATCATGTGGTTGAAGATGGTGGAGGTGGATGGAGGTTTAAACAGAAGAGCTGGGGTTTAACACAAGGTGGGCCGAGGCTTTTTTCTGTTTTATTAGACTTTGTTCTGCATCAGGCCTGCAGATTCATTCATCCCAGTCTTAGATGTGTGTTATCAGGTCAGTCTCTGTTGTTTTTGGCCTGTTGTCCTAGATTACGTTCATGTCTGCTGGGTAGTAGTAATGTATGGAATTTACGTCATTTGCTTCACTGCTTTTATTGTTAGCTTTACTGCTCAAAAAATACCCATTACTTGAAAAGCAACTGGAGGCTGGTGTAGTTGCAAAGTGTTGTACGGTGGTTCCACACTGGATGCTGAAGGTTAACTAAACTTTGAGGTGCTTTGTTTGGTATGTTGTTGTGTGCAGATTCAAATATATTTACATGATACTGTTGAGACTGTTTCTTAATATATATTGTTATGTCATTATAATAGTGTTTCTTGATAAGGGCCCACAATATTTCAGGATCATTTTAAATAATCTTATTTAATTTGATTAATCGTTTGTGTTTGCTAAATGGATATTTAAACTTCAAAGTTTAATTTTACACTGAGGCTTCAAAGTAGGTCCAACCAGTATGGGTTTCCTCTCTTACTACACTGTAACTAATTGCTATAACAATGCACAAAACTGCATGTCCGTCTTTGTGAATACGCTTGACTTTTTTGAATTTTGACCCATTTGAGAAAAAAATATAGACAGAAAGCTATTTCACAATAACACGGTACATTACCTTATTTTCCTTGAGTACACCTGTAATTTATCTGAGCAAAGTTATGCTGCTTCAGTTCCTCAGTTAGTTTGTTAAATGCTTAATTGAAGTCATTAATTTAGTGTTATGAGGGTTATTTCACAGTACTTTGAATCATTTTATAATAATACATTGTTTATTGAGATTACAGGAGCATTAAAATACCATTCTCATAATAAGCAAAGAGCTGACAGTATTAAACTGCTAAGCTTATATGTCACCCATCACAGTGATGTAATATTTTTTTATTGGAAGAACCTGTTTTTGCAGATTACAGTAGTTTAAGTGTAAAATAACAGTATGTTGCTGGCAAATCCAGCTGTCTGGACCTAACATTGTAAATTAACAGAAAAATGTTTTAAATTGTGATTTCTAATGAAAAATAATTACTGTATAAATTGTCCTTTTGTAAATATATATTTATATATTATATATATATTCTCCTCAGAGTGTTTTTGAGGAAGTCCATGAACGACCCCTAACTGATTAAACACACACATGTTCTTGTGATGTGCGTAATTCAGGATGCTCTCTCCTGTCAGACGAACACTAATTATGTAATTGACTCAACATCTAATTCACTCTAAAAAGGAGGACTCGGTTTGTTTTACAGTATCAGGATACATCTGCTATTCAAGCCTGAAGTCTCTGATGCCCATTGTGTTTCTCTCCTTTACTAGCAGACCTTACATATAGCTGCACCTGGCAGAGCAATCGTGTTTTTTTACTCCAGGAGTTTATTATTATATTTAGAAATGGCAGCTTATTGATTGATGTCCTGTTTTTCTTGCTTTTCTCTCTCTGTTAACTTGTAGCTCAGGGCCACGTCTGTCTGGCTCATTGGACGCTCCAGACGGATAGCTGTGCTGAGGGGAGTCTGAGAAGAGGAAGCTGGGCACTGTGGGATCTGAGCCAATGACCTGTAGGAGGAGGGAAGCAGCATAGAGAGTTGATTAAAATGGGGTAAGTTTAGAAGATCAGACAGCATGCTGCCAGCAGGAACTGTTGGCTGAAACAAGAGGATTTCGCTCCAGAACTGATCCTTGCAACATGATGCTCACTGTTAGGTAAACTCTGCCCGATCAGAGTGAAAAGCAGATGTGCTGACAGCAGAATAAAGACACGCTTATAACACACTGATGATGTGTTTGCACATAGGCACAAATAGAGTTGTGGTCTTTTCACAGAAGCGACTTACTGCCATACACTTTATGTTTAATTGGAAAATCTTGCAACTCACAGAGTGAAGGTTTTATGCTAGATTTTCTTCAATCGTGCCAACAGAATGGGGTGCTGCTTAACTGAGCAAAAGAGCCAGAGAAGGAGGAACCTAAAGACCTTCAGTGTCACCAGTGGTTTAGACGCACAGTTTTGTGTTATATTAAGTAAAAGAGGATACAGGGATAAACTGTGTAAGCGACTGAAATAAGATAAAGTGACTCATTTTGTGTCAAATAGTGATATAATTGCTCTGTGTTTCAATAGGACAAAACTACTGACTGAAAACTACCGACCTTTGTCTGAATAATAACCAGATGGACATGGATTTATTTAGATACCTGAACAAAATATGTGGACCCCCAGTCTTAAAGTAGCCTCTTCTTTTCAGGTTTGAAGCACTGAAACTTGAATTTAAAGATTTACTCCAATTCACAAGAGGATTATCACCTAACACCGATGATGGCTGGTGAAGCCTTTCTTGCAGTTGAATTTCTTTCTGGTCCAGTCAGGGTGTGCACTGACTAGAGAAGCAACATCATTTTGACACAGGAAAGGGAGTTCCCAAATGGTGAATGTTTTTATAGGGAAGTTTTGATATTACAGTGTGACGGTATGAAGCATTTAAGTGGGTTAGGATGTTAAAGTTCGTGAGATTACAATTAGAAAAAGACTGTTCAAGTATGGCTTGTTTGGAAGGGTTTCCAGGAGAAAACCTCTTCTCTCTAAAAAGAACATGGCAAAGCTACAACTGAACAAACCACAAGACGTCTGGAACAACGTCCTTTAGGCACACAAGACCAAAGTGGAGATGCTTTAAGAGGCACAGTCTGGAGAAACTCAAGCACAGGATGTCAGCACAAATGCCTCTCACACACTGTTAAGCATGGTGGCGGAGGGGTGATGATTTGGGCTTGTTTTGCAACCTTGCATTGTTTGAGTTAACCATGAACAAATGTGAGGCTGTCTGTCTGACAGCTAAAGCTTGGCCCAAGTTGGTTGCAGCAGGACGATGCAGAAGTGCTGTGGTGAGACTGTAAGAAAACAAATACATGGAAAACTCAGTGAACTGAAAAGAAGAGAGGGCCAAAGTTCCTCCACAGCAATGTGAGATGCACACACACCTACAGACAATGTGAGGTATTCATACAGAAACTTATCAGGTTATCGCTGCTAAACGTGGTTCCACAAGCTATTGAATCATGGGGTGAACTTACAGGACTGCATGTATATGCCATTAATATTTGATTTGACTAGAAGTGACTGGCCTACTTCCAACTGGGAAATGCAAAACTAAATCAAATGTTCCTGAAATAGACACAGACCTTTTTGGCCATATAATTTTAAATTGAAGGACTCAGTAATACACAAACTGATTCATTAAATTGGAGATTTTTTTGTCAGCGTTCTCAGCAATGCAGTAACTCTGACACTGAATCCAATCATTTGATTGATTTATTTCCTCATTTTGAAGCTGTCCTCTCCGTGCGCTCTGCCATCATATCTCGAGAAATCAGCCCCTGTGCATGCTGGACATGGTGACTGATTTACTTCCCTGATGGTGGGGATGAATTATTCCTCAGTTAGCTTGGTGACAGAGGGAGCAGAGAGCGCGAGACCTCCAGAGAGCATTTACTCTGGCAGTAATTCAACCAGAGAAAGGCACAGAGAGAGGGAGAGGCACAGGCATGTCGAGCAGGATGCTCCCTGCTATTCAGACACTCACACGCAAGCTAATTTAAAGCCAAATTTCAGATTTCAGCATTTTTTTTCCCTCACAGCTGAACTGCGCACATGCATATTGTATGTGTCTTCTAAGCAGAATAACAGAGAAGTCACTCTAAGGCATCACTTAGTTTTGCAAGTAGTGATTTAAAACTGATTATAGAAATAAATCTGTTCATTTTGCAAAAAGAAAAAACAATACTGGATTTCTTTTACTTTGGGATGCAAGTAGGTAGTGAATGCACATACTTAATAACGATCAGATCATTAATGAAAAGAGGGCGTGGTGCACAAGAACCTGTCAGCCAAACATCAAGGATATACAAAAAACTATCAAAATGATTCACAGGCATTAAGATACTGATCGGTGTAAAGCAACAGAACATGCAAAACCTACAAAAATGGACTTGAAATAATGTAATTTCCCCGGATCACGAAGAATGACTCAGCCACATGAAGTAATATAACAAACAGAAAAAGCTGCTCTTATTCTACAACAAAGTGTTAGTCAATTCGTCCTTCTTTGTTGCATGTTTGCATTATTAAAACGCACAAATCTACTTTCATTTCCTTTAAAAAGAAAGCGTTGCCTAAACCAGCAGGACACAGGTTTACATGCTCGAGTGTGATTCAACCAGGAGTATTTTCTTACATTGCACTACATTTTCTTACATTTTTGTCATTGTCAGAGTAATCTACGTATGGGGATCCAAAGTGTTCAGGTAGCAGGACAGTGCATTTGAGATTAAATAAAAATGTAGTGTTACTTGTGCATGCGTGGTAGAGAAGCAGCATGCGACCTTGTGCAATGCATAACAAAAAATAGACAAAAGGAGAAGTCAGATATATCCGGCTTTAGATAATCACAGTACTTGTTAGTGCAATCACTCCACTCTTGTTTTCTTAATATGAAATATATAAAAATATCACCAGTCTCCTCCTTGTTCAAGATAAAGATAAAAGGATTATGTTTTTGTGAATGTGTGTCTTTCAGACTCTGCTGCTTTTTTCTGTTTTTTTGAGCATGTTCATCTAATTAGCAGCCAACAAATAAAATCCGAGGGAAACCGCCCACTGATTAACTCGGATCGCAGGGCTGCTTACCTCTAACCATGTAAGGAATGGCAATTTACTTATTACTGCGAAGCCTCGGAGAAGCGTGGCGGCCTGTTCGTGCTTTAGCATTTGAGAGCATCTGAGTCTGGAGATGATTTGGATTTTATTATTCACATAATGCATCAGGGATGAGCCCTCTGAGTCCTTGTTTCATAACCATAGTCATAATCACAGCCATGACCCTGCGCTACTCACTGTGATGTAGACCCGATGTGAGATATGGAGAATGAGAATTTGTATTGGGCGGTGAACTTGCTATTTGTACTCATTAAAGAGAGCGACAGAGCCACAGTACACCCGGTGCCATCTTGCCAACTGTCTTGGCTGCTAATCTGCAGCTATACTGTCTGGTTAGTCTGAAGGAAAAAAGCAGAACCATCCGCCAGTGGACTGCCAGGCAGTTATCTTCATTACTGTCCCCTCAGCTTACTGCTTTCTCTTAACATCACACTCATTTCCTCTTCATCTGTCTCATCTTTGTCTCATCTACTAGGGTTCTCTCATTTTTTTTCACTATCCTCCACTATCTGTCTCTCAATCTCATGTTTTAATAGCCGAAAAGCCAGGCAATAATCCCTCTATTATTATTCTTGCCGCAGAGAAAGGAAAAAAAAGAAATATCCCAAGGGGGCAGATAGAACGCCATTTGTATGATATAAATGTGATTACTCTGGTGAACGAACCAGGCTTCAGAGACACTGTCTCTGTGTCCAGAGTTGTGGTCATCCAGTACATGTGGTCTGTGTAGTCGCCAATGTGGCTGAAGAAGACTGATCTGTACTAAAAGGTCATTTTACAATCTACACTGAAGAGTAATGTTTCAATTTTGAGCTGTGTTATGATAGAGGAAACATCTAAAGTAATGAAATTCACGTTTGAGGCTGTGAGCTAATGTTCCAAGATGTGAAGTCATTTTGTCAATTTCTTGCTTGGGTCCATGAATAAAGACATTCTGTCCTTTCTCGTCTTCATTGCTGCAGGCTGTGGATCTCTGTACCAGCTCACTGCACGTCTGAGGGCCGCTCGCTCTGCCCCGAGCCATGCCAGACGTGAAGCCTCCCCCGCCATGTGACTACCCCTCTACCTCCTCCGTCGCGGCCTCTGCCGGCTCCCCTGCTGGCTGCACCTCTCCGCTCGACCTCGTCATGGACGTGGAGCCCTGCATCGCCAACCTCCCCTTGTCTCCTGACCCACTGTCCTCCTTCCCCCGGCACAGAACCAGCGTCCCTCACTATCCAGGGTTTCATGGTCCACCTTTTCCCCTCATGGCCCGGTGTAACAGCAGCACCTTGCTTACAAACTTGGGGCTCAGGTACTGTTCCGGCCAACAGGGCGGTCTGGGGATGGAGCCAGGTCAGGGAGCAGCCTGCATTCATACTGGAAGCAATGGCAGCAGGCCTTACAGGAGTATGGAGAACTTAAACTGGAACACTCTGGCAGATTCTGGTCTGTGCTCGCTCAGCAGTGCTCCCTACAGGAGCGTGGACAGTGAGTTTATCTTACGCTACACCTCCACTAGCCACTGGTATGATGGGTCTCCAGACAGCTCCCATGGGCTGGCACCCAACCCAGAAAGCCTGGCGTTTTACCCTCGACCCGGACTGCCCAGGAAGGACCTGCCACTCTTCCCTCAGTTGCTGTTTCCAAGTGGTGTGGATGAATGGGATGCGAGGAAGGGCCTAAGAGAGAAACTCCGCCTTCAGAGTGCAAGGTCAGCTGTTGAGCCTCTGAAGCCCCTCCCACTGCGTCCTACGGTGTCCCCGTGCGCTGTACCCATGGAACGGGAGAGTGTGTATCACGGGAAGTCAACAGGTCCTGTTTCCAGGCCGCCCACTACAATGCGCATCACCAGCCCAGAGGAGATAAAACAGGAGGTCTTGAGGCGTTTACAGCTCCGTCGGCAGAATAGTAGCCCCAACCTGGCTCTCCACAGCGCCCCATCCACCCAGCAGGCAGTTAAGACATCCTACACAACAGACAGTATTTCAGGTAACAGAAGCAGATCAGACTCTACATTAGAGCCTCGAAGACCTCCTTTGGGACGCTTGCATATACCTACTTTTGAGGAGTTTAAGAGGATGCGGCAGATGGAGAGGAAGCAGAACCTTGAGTCCACAGTGGATGCTACACCATCTGAAAAACCTGTAGCTGACCTTCAGCAAGACCTAGGAGCATCAGATGGTGTGATAATCCTTTCAGACCCTCATTTCGAAAAGCAGAGAGAAAATCCCGAGGCCATCACGTCCTCAGAGAAACGTACATTCAACACTGTGAACGCTAACGGCACTGCAGCTCCCGCTCCCTCCTCCATCTCTGACACCAGCACGTACTCTCCCATCCGCACGGGGCCCTCTCCACGTTCACCCCTGCCGCCCCAGGGTGGCTCGGCCCAGGAAAAGGCCAGCAACGTAGGAGGGGATGATGGGAGTGCCAAGCGTAGGAGGAGCAGTCTGGAACCTGCTGGGTCAGTTCCCTTTCCGCCCAGCAGGGAGAAGTGGGAACGACCCTCCAGCTGCTGCCCTGCTCTTCTGCTGGACGGGACCGAACTGTCTAGCTATGGAGCCAAGATCTATAAGATGAAGGATGGTCTCATTGGCTCTGCACTGGACCTGATCAAGAAGAGGTTAGTGGAAGAGGCGTGGCAGGAGAGAGAGGAGTGCTGTGTATGTGTTAGTTGTTGTAAAGTTAAACTTAACATGTTGTCTATAGGCAGTGTTGGGGAGTAACGGAATACATTTTAAAAGTAACCTTCCCAACACTGTCTATAGGTTAAAATACATAATATTGCATAATAGTGGTGGGAACAACCATGACTATGGAGTTGTTCCCTATTTGTCTGGCATGCACCTGCACACATATTGGCTCCATCACAACCAAAGATACATAATGTATCTAGAATATATCCTTATTTATTAGAGATCAAATGGTAAATGGTAAATGGCCTGTATTTATATAGCACTTTACTAGTCCCTAAGGACCCCAAAGCGCTTTACATATCCAGTCATCCACCCATTCACACACACATTCACACACAAGACCTTTGGGCTCAAGGAACAGGTTTATGATTAACTCTTAACTTGCAGTACTAGTACAGCAAAGTGTATTTTGTACATACAGTGGTGCTTACAAATAAGCACATTCTTTTAAAATCCAGTTAAATCTTTCTAATGGAGAAATTAAATCTCACAATATACATTATCCGATCCTTGTAGGGGCTTACAACCGCTGAAGTGTTTATCTGTAAAGTATATGCAGGTACACTTCCAGCGTTGTATCAGTGTATGCCCGTCCATCTGTTTAAGCCCGCACGTGCTGTTGTATTATTGATTTATCTCAGTTATTGTGATAACAGCTGTCGGAGCTAACAGGGTTGGCTCTGCAGACGAGACTGTGGGCGGGAGCCTGGCATGAGGAGGCAGTGACAGACTGGAGGACGCAGACTTGTTGTTTCCCTGGTTCTCCTCTCTCAGTGTCATCTGTTGGCTAAATAAATGCAGGCTTCACTCCACTGTGGTTCATTCTGATCAAGGACAAACAAGGGTAGGGTGTGTTTTACAGCACTGGGCACCCATTTAGGTCTTCTTGCAGTGTAAATATTAGACCCCGAACAAAGAGCTGCTTGATAAGGTCAGTTGAGAAATATAAACTCCCCCCCACCCCCCAACTGCCTGGTTTTGCTAAATGAGAGATAGACGGTATCTTTCCCTGCCAGTCTGGACTCTCCGCTCACTGTCGCTCCTTTGTCTGCACTGCTAGAAAGAATGATGGATGACTGCATGAAGGCAGCAGAAAAATATCTGCTGCGTGTGTGCGATTGTATAGATACAGAATATGTTCAGTATGTAAGAGAGCAGAGCTGTAGTCTAAGGCTGCAACTAACAGTTATTTTACTTTATTTTTACGATCAGGCTTTATAGACTATAAAAGCGTGAAAGATGCTCCAAGTGATGCCTTCAGCAGGCTTGTTTCTTTTCCTTTAATCTTTATAACAAGACCAGTATTAGCTAGCAGCTCAGTGGACCTGCATTTGGTCGCACTGGTTGTGAGCATTACAGCTATTATAGTTATTCTTTGTTAGTTTGAGTCTTTTGAATTATGATTGTATTTATGACCAATGCGAGAGACAAGTTTTAAGTTAAATTAGTATAAATATTATAATATAAGCAGAACTTTTTGAAAGCAGTTGACTCACAGTCTTGCAGACATCCAGAGTCTCAATAAACTCGTCGATCAGAGCCTCATCGGGGAGGTTGTGATAACAAATTTCGCCAAACTAACAAATACCAAAAATTAAGGATATTTCCTCTTTAATTGAAATGTATTTTAGTTATGTATGCATTGTTTTTCACATCCATTTTTGGTTTTAGTTGAATATTTGCTTAATACTGCTAAACACAAAGAACAGCTGAATCTGAGAATCTGAGACTCTTTAAACAAACTTTTAGGGAGACGTTGACCTGACCATGGGGCTATACGAAGCATGAAGAGATGAGGCAAGTGAGAGACGTTGGTTTTTGCAACAAAATTTTGTGGCATTCTTTCCTAAAAAATTCTGAACGCTTTGAATAAAACCCAAAAATCACAGTGACAGTAAAGGAAACAGTTTGAATGTCCCTGCAAAATTTCCCGACAGTCAGTCCAGCAGTTGCAGAGCTATTTCACTGTCTCCCGGTCCACTAATCAATTACTCAGCTGATGCTGTCAGCAGTATTACAGTGCTCGTAAAGCCCGTTCACATCTCCAGCATCCGGAGCGGATTCTTCTTTTATGTACAAAAAAAGCACCCATAATGCAACACACCCCGCACTCTCCTGAGATTTAAATACAGCCCGAGGCTCTGTGAATGTTTTAATACTTGGACATTTATTAGTTAATTAAACATGACAGTATGCTGTGTGATCGCTGCACCCCAAGGTATCTGACGTCCGTCGCGAGTCTCTTTGTTTAGGTGTGCAGGGCATTGTGTTTTAGCTGCGCTATTACAGTAATATTCATATTATTACACCTGGGAGCGTTTTTTCATAGGCTGAAGCATAAAGCTGCACCACTGAGTTAATTGCACTCTGCAGTAATAGTGTTATATAGAGACGTCAAGAAGAAGGCGTGTATGAGATTTTATTTTTATTTATATCTATTTTCTGTGTATTCGTCTCAATTGATCGCACTCGCCCAATCAGATTCAAAATGAATTAATTTGAGAGATAGATGGATCAGTGAAGGTGACAGCCAGGCTAATTTTGGTGTCACGCCGTGCAGTGTTGAGTGCTGATCTATCACATGCAGCGGTTTCCTGATAAATTAAACTACAGGTTATTGGATCCCATGCATCATCCAGAGTGTGACAGCTAATACTGTGATAGAAATGCATTTTAATGACAGTTTGTTCAACGGGAAAGCGATCGGATGCTTCAGAGCCGGGGGATTAATTGTATTGGGCTTTTTGCCACGCTTTGATTTGGACATCTTCATCTGCTGTGCTGGTGTTTCTTGAGAAACAACGTGCAGGTTGCCAGAGTTTCATGCAATTTAATCTGCAAAGAAGAAAGTAGTTGAGCTGAAGCGCACGTAGCTGCCACGCAGCATATGAAGGACGTTGAAAACATTTTTTTTTACGACATGTCCAGAAAGGGCTCAGCAGTTTAACTGCTTTGGGAGGGACAGAACTCAGAAAGACACTGTTATGTAAGAACCATTAGAGTAATAAGACCTCGTGTTAAGTCAGCACACACACGCTGAAGAGAAGCCAAAGGAAATTTAATAGCAGAGCTGGTGCTGAAACAATGAATCGACTGGTTCTGGGCCCCGAGAACACCAATGAATTTCTTATTTTTCTATTGGTTATTTGCCGTATTAATATCTTTGAGTTATTTTTTCTACCATTTTCCATCAATGTATGGATTAAACAAACAAGTAATGAAGCATTCACAAGCTGAATGAATACATACTATGACTACTCTATTTATGTAAGTTTAGTGGTGGCTATCACTGATATACCTACTGTGTGGGTCTCACTTGTGACCAGTTGGTTTTCAGACACTGTTGGGCTGTTTGTGGTGTCGAAGGACCTTGGCAGGGATTTTTTGGTCGATGTGGGTTGCAGGGTGTAGAACAAGCCTGTGCTTCCCAGACCTAAAACTCAAAGAGATTTAAGTCTGGGAAGATTAAAAGACGGGTCAGTGTAGAGCTTTCTCAGAGATTCCCAAAGGAAAACTGCCGTATAACGACATAATCAATCTTATTTATTCTACCAGTTAATGTTTTAATGTTGTGGCTGATTGATGCTTTGTTGTTGTTACTAAAACACAATGGAGAAGACATTTCACTCAACATTACAGTAAAGCTCGAGCCAGTTTTACTAAACTCTTGGGTCAAATTCTTGAGACTAACCATCCTCTGTTCTTGTCAAATACACGCCTTTGTGAAGAAAGTCAGTATATCAGGAATTTACAGCCTGTCTTTCCCTGTGAGGGCCCAGACATCATCGAGACTCCGTTATGGGTTGTGATCCCTGGGGCAATTAAGCTCGCGTAGCTAATAAAAAAAAATCACAAACACCTTTATTTTGAGTAAAATATATATAAAAATATGTCAAACTGATGTCACAACATTTTTTTTTACAATGATTGCAGTAATATGGTAGTATCCACACGTGGCTACTGGACCGTTAAGTTTAACAGTGCTGAAAAAACAAAATCAATATACAGCATAGCAGTTGGTTCTTTCTCCTGAAGTTAATGGCATAAACAAAATGTAAAACACCACAAATCAACATTTCCTGTATTATTAACACTTCATTTAAATGACTTCACGAAATCACAAAGGACTTAGAGAGAGGGACGGAATAAACAGGGTAGGCCAGGAATGAACATAGACTGTTGTTGGTTTGTGAAGTTCTGTTTCCAAGCCTCAGTGTGATGGTTTTGTTGAGCCAGAAATGACCATATTTGGAGAAAGTGCTAGTCAGCTAACTAGCTTGCTAGCTAGGTTAGCAAGTAGCATGCAAAGACAGTATCGGACAGACACAGATACTTGCTAATCAGTGCTAGCACATTCAAATATTACTAAAATTTAATCTTGAACAAACTGTTAGAAAAATTAACCACACAGGAAACAAAGTTATTTGTCAGATAATAATATTAAAAATGTTTCACAAGGAACCGAAACTACAAGTGGGTCCAGTTATGAAGCTTGCAGATAGCTACCAGCTACCAGTCCGAATGTTAAGCCTTTATAAAGGTTAAAAGGTTGACCACATAAACGTGCAGACTTCTTGTGCTGGCGTAAAGTTGTGCAGTTCAGCATTAGATTTTATAGCGACTTTTGGAGGGCACTTTTGTGCCGCCTGTGTATAATTAGCTTTTAAGTTGTTTTAGTCCATTCTCCGAGTAGGGCACATTTACTGCATGGCTCGGCCGTAGAGTAAATGTCCCCTAATAAACTCAGTGTAAACGAGCTCTAATAAACTCATTGTACTCATTCACTGATGCGTTAAGTGAATCACAACAACGATCCCTGGCCACTTTTAAGGTGCACATCTTGTGGTGGATTTGTATTTGCTTTGGTCTGTTTGTTTTCTGCTATTACAAATGCTCGTATAAGTCCCCACAGGCATGTATTTGTGGTTTGTGTGTTCAAGGATATGCAATTTCCAGTGTAGTGAAATTCCTGTGCAGCAGTTTGTCACTGTGTGCTTTTTTGGGATGTCACAGATCTCATGCTGTCTGTGTGCAGCAAGAACGAATCCCCAGTTGTCAGACAAAGGAATGAAAGAAAACTATAATGCCTCCACGTGTTTGTGCGTGGCCGCGAAAAGGCATTGTCCCCGTGGTCCGTGGGGTTCAGGTGTTAATGTCTGCTGGTGGGCCTAATTACTGTGCTCCTGAGGAGGAGCTTAGGGTTGGCGGGTGGGCTTTGGTGGCCACAAAAAGAGGAGAGGGATTGATTTGGAAGTCTGGGTGGGTAAAGGAGGAGGTGGTGGTTGGGTGGGTGGTGGAGAAGACATAGCAGGAAGAAGAAAGGCATGTGAGCTGGAGAAGGAAGACTGAGGAGTAATGAATGACAGAGATGCTGTAAGCAGAAGAGGGCTCTGCCAGAATTATAATTTCCCCCTCTTCCTTCATTCAATACCTTTCCCACACGTCTTGTTCCCTCCTCTTTTTCTTCTATCCCCCTTATCCTTTTGCTTTCTATTCCTTCCCTTTCACCCCCCCCTCCCCACCCTCCCAATCTCCCACCCTTCTCTTCACCCATCTCTCTCCCTCCCCTCCTCTCTACGTCCATCTCCCTCCTCTCTTCACCAGCTGCAGTGCAGAGATCTCCGCCGAGACCCCCGTCAGGCTGTCAGGTGACCGGGACGGAGGCTGTGACATCACCGCCCCCTCGGCCGACTGTCAGCCCTCCGCCGTTGCCATGGCAACGTCGGCAACGGCCTGCGGAGCCAAGGCTGGCGAAGAAGCACCTGCAGGAGAAGGAGGAAGAGAGGAAGCAGGAGAATGCGTAAGGATTCTTTCTCTCTCTCTTTTTTTGTTTTTCATGTCTTAACAGCGTTCCCCGTGCGCTCCTTAGGTTGCTTCTGCTTTCTGCCGTTGCCTCGCAGTGTGCAGAAACGCGCTGATCTATTGGTATTCATCGGTGACTGGGACAAGCAAGGGGACTGCGACACGCACACATGCACATCCCTCACATATACTGATGCAGAGGTATTTGCTGAGAACAAGCATGCAGCGGTCTGTCTTCCTGCTACAGCTCAGCGACTGAGGATGCAGTAAAAGAAAAAAAAAAGGAGGATTAAGCACCCCTCCAGCAGTGAGCTGCTGCTGGTAACTGAGCGCTCCATTCCTGCTCTCTGCGTGCCTCCTCTCTCTCTCTGCTGGCTGGCTGGCTGCAGCTTGACACCAGGCTCAGCTGCAGCTAGCATCATGCTCCTCTCTGCATCTGCAGACCAGAACAGAAGAGCCGGACTGACATGGAGTCATACCTCGCTTGCATGTTGCAGCAGCTGTTAGGTAGCTTAGACAACAGATGTCGAGGTGCGTTTGCTTCTTTCTTGCCTTCTTTTATTTTAAATTAACAGCCTCTGCATTTACCAGACAAACGGGTGTTATTAGATAATTTAGTAGAATATGAATTATTCTCCTTCATTTTATCCAATAGCTGCGAGCTGTGTGAAGCGATGGAAGTCTTGCACCTTTCAGTCATATTTAGTTGCTCTATTCGTGTCTACGGTTAGGAAGATAATGGGCAATTTAAAGCCATTATATGGATGTTATAGGGGATGCTGACGATGCCTTTGGGGTGATGAGGAAGATGCTATAGGTATGACCTTTGAACTTTATATCTCAGGTTGATTCTCAGGGGCTTGAGAGACCCTAAAAGAATTTCAGAGATCACTCGAGGAGTGTTTGTCCATGCTGAATGCTGCAGTGTTTGGGGAATTCCTTGCTTTAACCTCTAAAGAATTTGTCATCTGGAGGATATCTCTCATCTTCAAGGCTGGGTGGTTTGAAGTTGCGATAAGAGCAGAATTTTCAAAGCGTGGCCTCGCTGAATTTACAGCCTTTTTACGAGACTTGGAAGACGATTAGTGCTGCGACTGACTGTGAAATTTGGATTCTTGTCAGTGCTACAAGCCGGGATCAGAGCGATAACCAAAATTTGTTATGTAATGATGTCATGCCAGTGAAGATGGTGACACTGTGCATGGTAACTGCTCTCACAGGCACACACACGCAGAAACACGCAAGCTGGAATTTCAGTCTTGTTGTCATTGCCTCCTTTAGTACCTCAGAGAGCTTTGCCCTCTTTCACCTGTTGCTATAGCAACACGACCGTTTGATTGACACACGTGTCTTTCCAACTGGCAGCACGCTAGTCTGGGCTGCAGGCGCTCCAGCTCGGACGCAGCCTATGAGCTGGCTGAGACGGTGAGAGCGCAGCGTGAGTGCCGCCTGCGACCCCACTACAGTGACCCCATGCCGGCCGACGCCTCCAAGCGCAAGCAGCTGGAGATGAAGATTGCCGCCGCCGCTCGACTCCACGGCCACCGTCGAGATCGCGATAGAGACAGAGACAGTGGTAAGTGCATAACAGGTGTGCCACATCGTGTTCCTTCTTCTTCTTCTTTAAGTGTGTAATCTGCTGAGGTTTTAGTTAAATTAAATGGAGCTACTTTGGATAAAGAAAATCCCACAAATAAGGACGACTTCAACAAAAAATTCAGTGTCACTGCAGCTGAAACGACACAGACTGGTGAACTTCCATCAAAGGATGTCCATGCGTCAAATCTGGTTGGAAGTGTTTGGGTTGTAACAAAAATGCAACTATTAAGAATATGTGTGTGTTGCTCAAATATCTACCTCAGCAAACAGGAGCCACACACTAATCAACGTGATGCTTCCTTCATCCTTGAATCCAACTTTCCAGCCAACATCACTAAGGTCATTTTTAATGAATGTCACCAAAATAGAGATTCTTCACAACTGGTAAAACACTTACATTTATTGCCTCTACTTTGCTTCCACACAAATATTTCCAAGCTCGAGTCGAATGACCCTAATGAATAAAATAAAACATAACTCAGGGGGCAGGTAGCTATTTAACATGTAGGCTGCTGGAAGCCTACATGTCAGTAAAGCTTTCTGGATTCTGTATCACTTTGACTTTTAAGAGATATAATACCTTTGACATTAAAATCTTGTCCATGTTCTGTGTTTTTGAAATGATTTTTAGAAATCATGTACATCTCAACTGCTGTGGGTTGTTGAGTGTAACTGCACAATGGCAGGTAACATTATCTTATGATTAGTTAGAAAACTGGCAACAGCACTTTAAATTTGGGGAAAAGGGCCTCTCAACTTTTTTTTAAAGCTATGTAGGTAACCTTACAGTGTGAATGAACTTCAGTATATTGTAGCCACTTTTCTCAGCTTTGATTTTGTACCAAAAGTTATAAAGAATACTGCTGATTGGTGTATTTTGGGGTTATTAGAGACGTACCTGCAATCAGAGCCTGTGATGTCCACTACAGCTGTCTCTGTCAGGGTACCTGGATCCTTGACCCAGTGTTGTCAATTTGGACCTTTTGCTATTGTTTCGTTTCCCTGTGCCTGTTTCCTGTTTTATTCTTTTAGTCTTTTGTCCTGTGCGTTGTGTTTAGTTCTACTTCCTCTGTGTCATTAGTTAGATTTATTCCAGATGTTTTCTCACCTGTTTCAACTCTTCCTTATTATCCAGTCTATTTAAGCCCTCAGTTTCTCTCAGTTATTTGCCATCTCATTGACGACTCCTCATGTGTAAACTCAGTTGATTTCAGTGACAGTCGCCTACAAAGCTGGATGGTTTGTATTTAGGCCTATTTCCTGTCTGCTAGCATGGAGCAGGTGGGGTTCATCCATCTACAAAGAGGTGATTGAGATGTTTTGGCTTTGTTTTTGGGGGACTTTCAGGTCATCTATCTTTGTATACAGTCTCAACATATAAACATTGCACATATTCCTATGGTGTATGGCACTGACCCCATCACTGTGTGATGGGATTTGACTTGATGCTTCCTTCCTGTGAACAAATGCCAGCACCTTTACAGAACTCTTTGTCCTCATTACACCTCTGACCTCACCATGAGGTGAATCCAAATAAATTGTGAATGAGCCTCCAGCTGAGCCTGGCATTTGACATCCCATCCCATTTTTCTTTTTTTAAAAAAGAAAAAAAGGCTTTTAAGAAATACATTTGTTCTGTTTTTACATCCCTTATGCAACTTGGAGTCTTGCTTGTCACTGAACATTATGGCCGTTGGACCCTGTCCTCAAGTCCTCCCACCAAACACACACACACAAACTACCCGCTTATGTTCCCTGTCAGTTGAAGACCCATTACACTAGTGCTGGGCAAAGGAAGTCCATCAATACGACATATGTTAATGATGACCTTGCTGGCCTTTTCCCAGAAACCTGCGTTTATTTGATTGACAAAAACTGGAGGGTAAATCCATAAACATTCTGATTGCTAATGAATCTGATCATCCTCACATCCCTCTCCCCAGCACCCGCAGCAATTCGTGGTCGCTCAGAGCCTCCCGGTGAGGAGCGCCAGGCAGTCTTGGGCGTGACTCGAACCGGACAACACCGCTGGAGCACCATCAGCAGCCTGAGTGCAGACAGCGGAGTGGTGGGCCTCAGCGATGAGCGCGACGAAGAGGACAACGAGCCTCGCCGTTACCGCAGAAGCCGGGGAGCCGACGTGGAACGAGTGGACAGCGGCATCGGGCCGGGTCTGTCCCGCACCTGGAAGAGACCGTCGGCCTCTCTGAGAGCCTGGGAGGCCCAGAGACCGTGTCCGGACTGTGGACTGAGGGACGGGGCCTCGAAAGAACGGGGAGAGCGCATGTGCGAACGTTGCTCCAAGCTGCGCATTGAACGCAAGGAAGCCATCCTGGAGTTTCTGAACACGGAGTCGAGCTACGGCGAGGACCTGCGCATCATCAAAGAGGAGTTTTACTGCCCCATGCAGAGTGCCGGGCTGCTGACCGCTGAGCAGCTCGCCGTGGTGTTCAGCAACGTTCAGGAGTTGATAGATGTCAATGAACGCTTCACCGAACACCTGCAGGACAGCATCGATCAGGCCTTTGACCAGGTGACCCACACTCTCTGTCTCTCAACACACATAAATACCAGCTGTGCATGAGCAAAGTTGGCATCTTCTGGCTCACAAACGGATTTCAACATCTCCTGTTGTTGCATAATTCACCTTAAGGGTCACACTTATAATGTCATTAAATGCCATTGTTTCTTTTTTTAACTGTTACTGAGTCCAAATTCAGATATATGTAGAAGTACACTTTAGAGATTCAGTACAAACATCAGAACCACAAGTTTAAGCACACGCATTTACATGTATACACTCAAAGCAATTGCAGGTAAAAATGTTTGTTTCTCTCACAGCGACGACGAAAACAAGGTCACTTATTGTCAAGTAGAGGAGAGGAACCATTAATCATGCTCTCAAGAATATGCTTACATTAACAATGAGTGACTGTATGCTGTTTGTGTAGTGATGATAGTGCCTGCAGTAAAGTATCACCAATTCTGGACATCGTCTCAGCTATACAGAGCACTTTAGTCTTCTTTTTACTTATTTTGGCTTAACACATAACAAATCAGTGGTTAGCATTAAAGCTAAGGAGCGTTAGTGCTACTGATAACTGTAAACATTTGCCTCTTCAACAGCTTATCCCAGTTGACATTGGGCGAGAGGTTGGGTACACCATGGGCACTCTAACAAAGAGTGAAAAATAATCGTTCAGACTCGCATCTAAACCCTGCTGCTGATTTAGAATCACCGGTTAACCTGGCACACGTGTCTCTGCACTGTTTACCCTTTGGCTGGTCCAATCTTCCTGTGAGCCAAATATAACTACACTAACAAGTCAGTAACATTAGTTAGCTGACAGCCCAGCTCACTGGCTGCAGCAGCAAGAGGGAGAAAAGATGAAGGGAATTACAATTTACTTGCAAAAATATAATGAAACTAAAAAGTGTGTGTGTTTATCAGAAAGTCAGCAGTGTGGAGCATGCATGGGTGGCTGGAGAGCAAATAATAAAATAAACCTGAAGCACACACTGTGGCTGTGCTGGTCCGAGCCTGGGAGTCACATGGTCACTGCAGGAGGGAGGGAGCTTTTACAGCCCAGCTCACTGGGCCCAGGTGTTGCTCTTGGAGCTTATTACCCTCCTATTAGTGTCTGCATAACACAGTACAACAAAACAGAGACACCTAGTGCCTCATCAACAAGTTTGACAGCAATGATGTCACCAACGTCTGTTTTATAAATCAGAGTTAGTTGAAGTTAATTCAGTTAACTTATCATCCCTCTGCATTCTGTCCTTATATAGTACAACGCAAGGTAGATGGACTGATATTTATACAGCACTGTTGTGCTTCTACTGAGATCTCAAAGCACTACACTCGCACATACAATTTAATTATACACACACACACACACACAAATACTCCAGTCGATGCATCAGGGGAAATTTGAAGTTCATTGTCTTGCCAGGTAAGCTTTAAGTATAGAAGTCAGGGATCAAACTGCTAACCTTCTGAGCAGGTCAGAAAGATCCTGAGCCAGCTTTAGCCAGTGGTGAGAGTTAAACAGTGAAGAGTGCAGGAGTCCATCCAGGAGATGTGTCTGAAACAAAAGTACAAGCTTTGTTGCTACAGCCCTGTTTACAAATTGTTTAGAAAAAAAGTAATTCCAGACTCATAAAGCACTTTGTAACACAGGGTTTTGAAAAATGCTCCATAAATAAAGTTCTTATTACTAAAATAAGTTTCTTTAAGGTCAAGCATTAAGATCATTCTACTTATCTTTAAAGAAAGAAATTTTCTTAAAAGAAATTTAAAGAAGGAGAGCCAACAGCCTTCTTAAAAAATGTCAGCCACCTTGAATTTCAAATGACTAAAGGTCTAAAGCAGGGGTGTCAAACTCAAATACACAGTGGGCCAAAATTCAAAACTGGAACATTAATATTTATTGGAAAAAAAAAATCTTCCTCCAGATTTAAGAATGAATCTTTTCTTATGGACTCAAACAAGTTTTGCTGAAAAACTGAATATGGAGCAAGCTAAGCTTAATACTAAACAATATATATATTAGCTGTATAATACCAGTAGGCCAGCTCTAATAATAATTTGGTATGGCTTCGCGAGCCAAATGTAATTAGGCTGCGGGCCAAATTTGGCCCGCGGGCCAGAGTTTGACACCTATGGTCTAAAGAGTCATCAGAAAACGGTATATGTGCCACTTTTGGTACTTTTATTACTTATTTATTTTGTTTGTGCGTATTCTGAAATATCAGCTGATCATTTCTTTCTTTCAGACACATAAGACATGAACAAAATCCCTGACATTTGTTATGTGTAGGTAGTCATTTACATATTTATGCTGTTCAAGCACATGCGCCACAAACAGGGAAGTTGCAAAGCGTCTTCTGTTGGAAGAACTCTAAATATCAACGCTCATATCACAGTTGAAGGGTGTCTCTCCTAGCTCTGTTTCATTTCTGCTTCTCTCAGTGAGACGCATGAGTCTTAAAATGCTCTCTGTATGATACTGTACTTAGTTACCATTTGTTTCAAGTTTACCTTAAAACAGCTGGTATATCTGGGACTAATAATTTTTGGGAGTATTACTGTCACTCCCTGATAACTGCTATGCTCACTAATTAGTACCCTTGTGTGAAGTGATGAGGCGAGAGCCAAGCATAAAGTCTGCACGTACCACTTTGGACAATGACTTTTAAGGCCGTTGCTTTCCTGTGGTTTGATTTCAGGGAGATGAAGATCTGCTGACAGTGTACATAGGAGAGATCTTTCTGGAGTTTGTCAACATGCTGCCCGCCTTTCAGACCTACTGTCTGCAGCAGTCCACCTCAGTCAACATGCTGAATACACTGGAGAAAGAAAAAGAGCTGCTAAGGTACACACAAAGTACAAGGACTGGTCTTCCTGTGGCTCTGTGTGATGGCAAAATTGCTGTGGGAGCTTTCTCTTGTTCCTGCCACGGCTGTGCTGTGTAATTCTTAATGGAAAGGACAGCGAGTTATCACTTATTCAGAAGATGTTCTATTTCAAGAGCAGAGCTGCAATGATTCATATTTTTAGACAGAACTGCAGCTCACCCATGACTCAGGCTGTCTTATGATTCCATTAATCAAGTTTTTAAGAGTTTCCCCAAAGACATACACAGACTGTAAGAATGTCTCCGTTCTCATCGTCCTCTTGTCTCACTTCTCTCTTTAGAATCTTCCTGGATGTTTCTCAGAATGACAACACAGCCCTGCGTCGTATGAACCTGCGCTCCTTCCTTATGGCGCCCCTCCAGCGCGTGACCAAGTACCCGCTTTTGTTGAGCCGCATCATTAAGGTCACTCCCGAGTGCCACCCCGACTACGCGCGTCTCCGTGAGGCCAAGAGTCGGGTCGAGTCCCACCTGGAGCACATCAACATGAAGACCAAGCAGGAGGGCAACGGGGTCACCTGGTCCCTGCGCTCGTTCCGCCGCGACAGCCGCAAGAACCGGGAGGTCATCAACATCGAGATGCGAGAGGTGTCGATGAAGACGGTGGGGTGGGCGAGGGAAAACACGCGATTTGTCATGGAGGGGCCGCTCCAGCTGTCCCAGCCGGCGGACGGTCAGTGGGTGAAGAAGGGCAGCAAGGCTCTCAAGTTCCAGAACGTCCAGAGCCTGCTGATGGTGAGGACGCAGCGGACGGTTGAGGGACTGTGCGCCGACCTGGTGGCTCGGGGGGATCAGATGGAAAGCGGCGGAGAGAGCATTCGGGACGGAGTGCTGGTTCTGATCAAGGACAAGAGCAGCGGGAAGTTCACAGTGCTGAGAGAGCCCATCCGACTGGGGAACTGCGTGGTGTCGACAGATCCTGACTGCGAGGACACATTCGAGGTGCTTGACATCCGGCGGGAGTCTTTCGTTTTCCGCGCCTCTGACAAATCTCGCACCCAGCAGTGGTTCCACCAGATTAAGAGGTACGCTCGGGACTTGGGCACCTGGAGGAAAAGACGTAACGCTTTGCCCAACATCATGATCAACACGAACCAAACGCGGTCCTGAGACTAACCACCACTCACCTTTGTTACACTGTAAATAACCTCCTACTGCAAAAATCAGCCGACAACAGGAAGCATTTCCGAGTGACTCCGCTGTCATAACTCATTAGAATTCAATAACAATAAATAAAAAGGGAAGAGAGAAAAAATCTCAGACTCTCATGAGGGCAAGAAAACGACGAAGCACTTTGTTTTTGTTACGAAGCTGTAAGTGCGCCATACTGTCATAAAATATTATGTATGTAGATTTAATTTGAAACTGTTACATTACAAGAGCAAAGTCAGATTGTTGGACGACCAAATGAATAACAAAGAAAAAAACTTGGGTCGATCTCGTCGGCCTTGATTGTAAAGACTGTAAAGACTCTCGGAGAAGCAGAGCTGTGTTTTTCAGTAAGTAACGTGTGTCTGTTGAACAGCATGACTGAACATGACCGACTGCAACGGGAAAAATTGTAACATCTTTGTTTTTTTAGTTTCTTTTCTGTTTTTTAATACAACACAGTGTGACGTAAGAACATTTCTCAAGGCAGAAATGTCGTCCACATCTTTTTGTTCGGTGGTTTTCGTTTGTCGTCACCGCCCTATTGTGTCCGTGTGCCGCCCTCTACTGTACATTGGCGGTAGGGCAATCTTTCACTGCCAGATAAGCAGTGGAGTAGAGCCTCTCAAAACGGGCTGTACAGACCTGTACGCGTCACCGTCTTTCAGTGAGAACTCACGTAACAGCAATAATCTCTGCCAGTTTCAAAGTAAGTAGCTACTGTATATGCATTTCGTTTTCCTGAGGTTTTCCTTTTGGCGTTCAGGTGTTAATCCTGCTTTACTGTGTCGTTGGGTTTTATGTGGCACATTTAACTGGAGTCTGATTGGTCGGTGGGCACGACTAAAGCTTTCCCTAATGCTAAGGACGCCTCTGTTACGGTCATTATATTTAAGTGCCATGAAAGCAGTTTGTGAAGAGTCTCGTCAGTCCTCTTTCTTGGAACATCCTGTCAAACCGGGTGACGTCAAACACTACCTGTGTGTTAAGTGCAGAGTTTTTCCAACCTCAGCTTCAGGACCTCATGTGGAGACCACCACTGGCCTCTGCACAGTTGTAATAATGTAATAACAGAGAATCAACAACCAGTTTTTTGTATTATTGAATGATTTGCTGGTTGTTTCTTCAACCAATCATTTGGTCTGGCATCAGTAACTCCTAAGAGTCTTCTTAGGAGACTCACTATATTCAGATTTTAAGAATATCACTTTTCAGTAAACAAACCACTTAGAATCACTGACTTTCTGTTAATAGACTATCTATTATGACTTTAATACTTTAACTGATTCAGTTATGCCACCATTTCTTGTCCATCCCACCCTCTGTGTAGCTGTGAGAGACCAAAAAAAAGGTTCTGTTGTGAAACTCTGGCGTTAAGGTTGAAAAAGCCTGCTACCTTGACGACAAACGCCTCAAAGAAAAAGCATCCAAACCATCTCGTCGTGACGCAGTTTCAGCTGTGTTATGTGACTTAGCGATGAGCTGTTGTGCCTTGGTACTTGATCACTGTTAAATGAAAACTGACTGAAGTATTTGCAATCCGTCATAGTAGCATTAACCTCTGAAATAGACTCGTCTGCTCTCCGTCACTTGACCGAGATTCATTTACAGGCAATATAATTATTCCTTCGACAGTCCCTGACTGCTGATGTGATCGACTGATCCTCTGTGTCTTCTTCTAATTTGTGTTTTTACTACTCATGGTGTGTTTTGTTTTTTTATTATTTAAGAGAGCTTTATTTTGTTTGATGCACTTTATTATTATGATTCAGTAATAGTATATTCTCCAGTGTAACCGCTGGTAAAAACTCTGTTACACAGTCATTACTGTTGACCATACTTGATGTAAAAGAGGGACTCTGGTCGACCGAAGCAGATTCCAGCACTTTGAAACTATAAAGTCGACCCAGTCATCGAAACCAAAACCACCAGATAAGACCAATGCTGTTATGTTATGAAGTAGCACGATCACTGTGTTTTGGAGGGCAGGGCTGCTCAGCTCCACACCGATACGCCTGTACTGTTGGAGGACGCAGTTTCAGATTTAAAAAGAAAAAACTAAACCTGCAGTTTCATTAAAGTTTCTTTTCCTCATTTGTGTATGAAAGACCTGACGTTTTATTTCCTCAGTGTAATATATTGTGCATTATATTAAAAGATTTTAAACACAACCTTTATTGTTGTTGTTTTTTCCTGTATAAAGTCTTTTATAACGTAGATGTGTGTACTCAGAATCATTCGCATCATCTTTAGGATTTCAAAGACAACAACACACACTGAACAATTGAGATCAATTTATTTGAAACAAAATCACAATATAGAAGGAAAACAGTGATTTTTTTTTCCATATAAAAACACCATTCAGCAACATTAAAGTATCGAAGCAAACTGAAGCATGGACGCCCACAACAGAAACAAACCTTCAAGATGTTTCTCTCCATGAAAAACAAATGGACACACTGTACTACACACAGAGACGTTGGCACTGCGCTGCAAGGGTTTCTTACTGTATGAAAACAAAGAACATACCTGACTCATCACAGTAGCTTTATGTCATATGAAGTGCATCTTTGTCTTTTCTTTGGCTCGTCCTCTCCCAGAGCCTCGTTTATAAATGCTACTGATGGAAATCCAAAACCTTCTGAGTTCAAACACTTTAAAAATGTATGAATCGGTTGTTACTCTCTTTATGGATTTTAGATTTAATATCTCAAGTTTGAGTGGACCATCTTCTTTATAAATGAGGCTCCTAGATATTTTTTGTTTGTTTTTTTTAAACAATAAAGTCAGAGTCCTAAGAAACACCGGGCATCAAATGCTGGTAAACAACACAAATACTTGTTTCTTTTTTCTTTGTAAACACATAAAAACAATGACAGAATAAATGAGCCTGGCTGGAGCGCTTCACTCTGAGCCATCTTAAACAATTAAGCATCAATACACTGTAAAGAAATAATAAAAATTTGACTGTTGCGAAAGAGAGTGAACAGCTGCAAAACCAGCTCAGTTTAACAGGGATCAGAAGACTGAGAACGTGTTTCCAAAACCAGCAACAAATCAAACCGTTGATAGTAAATCATCTGATGGGGGGCGTCGCCGCCTCTGCCATCCTTTCCGACAGACTGCCATCCACCTGACGCACGTCTCACACATGCATTCGCACAGATATACGCCGATAAGCACGCACACACACAGTCTGTCTTCGGTTGCTGGGGCCTCAGGCAGATCCCTGGCTCTCATGTTCCAGGTGGTGTAAAGTCTCCAATCTGCAGCAGCCATGGAGAGTTCCCAGCTTGGGGGCGGGGCAGCCACCACGCCCTCCTTCTCCCACTGCCAATCGCACCCTCGCCGCTCTACTTCTCACCAGCGGCCTCGGGCTCCTTGGCCAGACCGCGGATTGACAAGTCATAAACTACCTCTTCGATTTTCTTCACGTCGTACTTGAGGCCGTCGTAGCGCTTCCTCAGAGGGTCGTTCTTCAGGTTGAGCAGGCGGAAGCCCGAGTCCAGCTCGTTGATGAAGTTGGAGATGCGCAGGGGCCGGTTGTAGTCTCCTGCTGTGACGCTGTTTACCGCCAAGCGTGACTGGATCGACAAACAGCATGGTGAGTTAAGGTCAACTTATACACAACAAATCATTGTTTACAACATTTTGGAAATAATCTTACCACCAGATTTAAGGACAGAAATTACTGCAATAATATCTTTCTTCCCCAAAACACACACCTGAATGCTCCAGACCTGCAAACTGGCAAAACTTCTGCTTTTATAGAGGAGCTCAAACTTGCTGATGATCAATCAATCAAGTGCTTGTCCTCATGATTCCTAGAATGTATTTAATATATAGAACATGACTGCATGTAGCAACATAACAATTAACAGTAAACTCACCAGTTCACTTGCCATGATCAGGACGCCTGCCAGGTAGTCCTCTACATCGAGGTGGAAGCCTTTCTCTCGCACCACTTCGACTACAAGGTGGAGAGAGAGGAGGAAGCAAAGATTAGCCGACTTTCTCCAGTGAGACTTCGACTTTATGACATTAAGTGGTACCTACTCCCGAGTATCTGTGCCACTTCTTCCCGCTTTACAAGAGTTTCGCTCTCCAGGTAGACAACAAACGCTGCTAAGAAGGCCAGACGCTGCAGGACAAAACGCCAGTGTTCATGGAACCTAAAGAGAGAAGAAGAAAGCCGAGAAACAAAGATAAAAACACTTGATTTCTTAAGGATATCCTGCTCACAGTGAGTCCTGTTTCTTTAGGGAGCCAGAGGCACATAAATTAAAAATACTTAATAATAAAACAAGACAGTTAAAAACACATCAGCAAAATTTTGCGAGTTTTGGTTTCATGAACAAAATAACAAACATTCAAAAACTCATTAGCGTTGCATAATCATGGCGATAACTGTAATTGTTGAGAAGAAAGTCATTCCTACCTATAATACTGCTCCATAGGAAATTTTGTTTTGAGTTCAGCAATTTGTGTCCTGACTGTGCAGAACAGCTCCCGCGCCTTCGCACATTTGCTGGGAACTAAAAGGGAGAAAAGAGAAGATTATCATACCAGAGGTTCAAAAATCATTTTATCCAAGTATCTACAGCTCCACGGGTCACTCACTTTCTTTGAATCCACTTGGTTGGTGGACACTCTGTAGTACTGTTAGTATTTCCCTGGCGGTCTGTTCCAAGGTTTGAACCACCTTACGAATATCCTGTGAAAAGAGGGAATGAAGAACAACAAAGCGTTTAAAGCTTCTACTAAAGTCCGAATAAAATCAATATACCTTTGCCACTTTGAATACCTAAGATGCTTACAACCTGTGCATCACCCTTGCAAACAAAAAGGAGCTCAGACCAGATCCCTATTATAATCTCAGCCCCACCTTGAACTCATCTGTCACTCCTACCGGACACCTCGCCTGTGTCTGGCTGTCTTCATACATGTCCTACACCACCCTCATATACTTCTCTGCCATTCCTGACGGTGCCACAGTTCCTCTTTATCACATGCTTTCTCTGTATCCACAAAGACTTTCTCTGTACTTCACCAGTACATTCATATTTTCTACATTATTAATGGGCAATGTTATTTTTTGTCTATTTTACCCGGGTATATTTTTCAATGGTTTAAAATCTGTCTTAGGGCGATACAGCCACAACCAATCAGCAATATTCGGAATTAAAGCTATCCCGCATTAAATTCACTAATTTTTAAATTAACTTTGGTTGGGGGAAAACGCTTTACAAGCGTGGTAAAAACACTGGAGCTTGATGATATTTAGATTTCAGTAAAAGTGATATTTATTGCGAACTGTTATCGACCTGAATTAAATTTATTAGCTGATGCAGCTAAACCATAATGTCCCATTTACCAGGGTTAAATATTTTCATTAAACGTTTAACGACAAGTCTTCGGCTCTGGTTAGCTGCTAGCTAGCAGTCTCTGTGAGCTAACGCTGTGCTGTTCGTGCTTACCTCTCTGATGTCCTGGTCTGCGCTCAGGAAGCCCTGGATGTAACTGAACATCTCGGTGACAGACATTTCTCTTCTGAATCCAGCCGTAAGCTTGATACCGAAAATGAACCTTCCGCAGCTATTCAACACATCAACGTGCACGAGAACGGTCAATCTCCGCCTCCAGCTGGCGCCTGGTGATGATGTCATCAATGCATAAATCAGAGCCTTCTTCTTCTTCTTCTTCTTCTGTATAGGGTTTACTGGCGGTTGGCAAACAGCAAAATGGTGCAGTACCGCCACCAACTGGTGTGGAGTGTGGACAGAAATGACAAAAATAATAAAAATAATAAAAAAAAATTCAAAGCCTCTCGAACAAATGGGTCTGCCTTAAAAACCAAAATACAGCCCGATAACTTTCACTTACAGAGGTCGTGCGAAACAAATCAATCAAGTCCAACTTCACGTCCATATCGTCCAGCTTTTTGAACTGTTGTCTCCTTTCAATATCATACCTCTGACAATTCAAGAAAACATGTTCTATTGTTTCCCGTTCCCTACTGCAGTCACTCCCCTGTACAGTGTTTACCTATTAAAAACAATGTGCTATTTAAACCTGTGTGTCCGAATCTCAGTCGAGATATAATCGTCTCCTCTCTCCTGTTTCCGCCTGTACTTCTCATTTCCCCCACCTTCCTTTGGATCTTATAAAACCATCGCCCTATCCTCTCTTCCTCCCATTGCTTCTGCCACCTTTCCTTCATTTTGTATCGTATTTTACTCTTGAGCTCTGTCCTACTCACACTAATAACCATATCTACCAAATCTGTGTGCCGGCGTCATCGTGCATTTTTCTGTTTTAAAAGTAGAAGACAGATGGTTTTTTTTTAAATATATAGATTAATAATTGTTCATTGCTTATTTCATTACTTCAGTGTATGCTGTGGTTGCTTAAATTTAAACAGCTTGTTATTACAAAAAAACCAAAAAATGAAAGTGATATTTTTACCTAATAAATCCAGGTGTGCACTTACAGGCAACCCTTATTAAATGTAAGGGAAGCTAAAGGTAGTATGGGGATATATGGGGGAGCCTAAAAAATGTTTTGTCTACAGTTAGGAAATTTGACCCTTCTTTGACCTCAGTGGGTCCACCTGGAAGACAGACTCACTGCATTACCTTATCCTTCCTGTTGACGGCGCCAAACCAGCACTTTTGCTACTGTTGCCTTTGCGTGCTGCTCGTTAACGCAGCCTTACCAGCCCCAGGTGCATCGTTCATTACGTGCGAGAGTTTGGATTTTCATCACTAATAAATACATACACTGCTAAAAATATAGATATACCCACCCGTCTTAAAAACTATGAGTTAAAAACGTCTTTAGCTCAACGCTCTTAAAATGAAAAACAAAACAAAAATACTGGAGTAGTAGTTTAAATCACAATTACGTCAGAATATTTATCCCCATTTTTATGGTTATAATTTTGATTTCGTATTTTAAACTACAGTACACTGCAAAACTCTCGAGCCACCCGCAGTTTCTTTATATCTTACTTGCAAGGTGTCAGACTTTTTAAGTTGTCTTGAGGCATAGCTCTCCAGGCTTTCTTAGGGTGAGCTTGGTCCTTGCACCGGACCATTTTCTGAGGCTTGTTTGGTCTTAAAAAAAAAAATCATACTGACCTATGCATTATTCAAGGATTTAAAAA